TATCACGATTTTTGACCCACGATTCGATTCGTATCACGATTTTTTATTTTATTTTTTTCGTGTGGGGTGGGAAAAAAAAAGATTTTTAAAACTATTTTTAATTAAATAACATTTGAAAAATCTTTATAAACTAAACATCAAAGAACAATATTAACTATGCAAATTATTAACAATATAAATAGCCATATATAAAATAAATAAATAGCCAAAGCTATATCACTTCTGTTTTCTTTGTAACAAAATACTGTTGAAAAACCAAACTAAACTCCATTGTTTAGATGGTTCAAGCATGTTGAAAATTATTTTTCAATCAAGTTCTCTTACAAAGAAAAAGTAAATTAAATGGCTAGGGATGCTCATTTCGTTAATTTTGCTAACCGACAACCGCCGCTCATTAATCGGTTATTAACGGTTAACTGGTCAGATTACTATTAATTTTATATTAAACAAATTGACGTGTCTATTTTGTGTATGACACATTAAATATTGAATTTTAAAATACTGATTTATTTTTATGTATTAATAGCGGAACAGAAGAACAGATGCATCTTCACGCATCTGCAGTGTTTAGCACAGAAGAGCAGAATAATCTAAATAAAATGAATAAAATAAATAGGACTGCCCTAAATTATTTTCACTTAAATAATTAATTTATATTACAAAACGAAAATACTGACTGATTCTTTTTAATAACCGGCATAGGCTTTTTTTCCAATCATATGTTTTTTTCTTCCGTCAAATAAAAATAGCTGACTTCCTCAAATTGCTCGCTCCACGGAAAATATGCATTTATTTAATGCCCCGCTGTTATTATTATAATCACAAAACCTTTACATTTTAATAGAAATCATTATTTTAAAGATTATGTCCTGATATAGCCTATGCTTTCCTCTCTCTCCCTCGCGGTTCAAGTGCGCGCGCTGCGTGATGAAAAGACGGCAACAACGCGCGCATATGTAGACTTTTTGTAAACAGTTTTGTTGTTTAAATATGATATTGCATTAATCTGCGTACATGCTTTATGCTGTAAAATAAAAAGTAAAGCCTATTTGTTGCGTTTATTACGCAGATCCAGGTCAACATAAGCGCTGGTTTAGTATCAACAGGTCTGTATCAAACAGCAATATTCTTCTTCCATTTTGCTTTTTTGGCAAATGTGTCTGTAGGCACGGGTTATACGTTATCGTCCCGCAAATTAAGTATGCCTTGCAGTTAAACAAGTGGCCGAAAACGAGGCGCACCTTACTGCCTTTATGTTGAGAAGGAAAAAAGAAGAGGCGCGGTCCTCTTATAAACGACTGAATCAGCTGGGTATCGATTGTGCAAAAGTGTTGCTGTCTGTGTTGTTACAATTGTAATATTTAATAATATTGTGATATTCAAGATTTGTATATTCATACAGCTCTGGATAACTTAAAACAACGATTAGACCTTCAGAGCGGTGTGAATGCGTCCTGAAGTAAAGCGAAACGGCAATAAACTCCAGCAAGATAGAGTGATTGTATGCAGAGCCATATACCTTTATCTCTAAATAAAGTATAACTATAGAAACTGTGTTTATTTTAACTGAAAGCTTCGTCGTGTTTTCTGACCTCACGCACCTGTCAGTCAGCACTCTCAAAGGTTCAAACAGAAAGCGCACAGCACGGTTACAGAAAGGTTTGTCTGTTACCTGACATCTGGTGAATGCCCATCCCTCTCTGCGCAGCCACATTAACAGTGTGAGCAAATCATCGTATATGCGCTGAAAATCCGGCCGCTTTGACAGCACTGGCAATGTTTCTGGCGTTGTCTGTTGTCAAGCGGGGTTAAGTTGGTTTTGTTTTTGATATTCTTGACACATTCAGACGGCCCCTTACTAAGAGCTCCGCGCGAGCTCTCCCGGCTAAATATTGCGAGGGCTTAAACGGAGCAGTGCTTGTAATGTCGAACGAAAAAAAGTGTTAATTAGCTCAACTTTTGCAGGCACACGTGACGTTATTGGAATGGTATCACGGGGTGGGTGTGTCGCGATTCTCCCTTATCACACCGCGACACAGGATCGTAGATCTGAGTGTCGCGATTTCGATTTTATATCGTGTATCGTTACAGCCCTAATATATATATTATATGAACAATCAGCCAGTCATTTTTAGAATCGCCTAGCTTTACCAGATGATATTAGATTCAACATGTTACTAATATGATGACACACAGGGGTCAACAATTAGGAATGCCTGATGGCCCGGGGCCAGCATGAGAGATAATTGGGACAGTAGACAGTATTGTTACTGGCCTAATCAAGCCAGTGCTTCCTAGTCACTAAAGTTTAGTTTGCCTGCGACTATTTGTCAATTGCGTACAAATACAGACTTAGATTTGAGAAACAGGTTGTGCTTTTAAGCCTTTCAGTTTTACCTTCTCTGGGATGTCATAACTACCATAGTGCTTTTCGATTTTTCTTATTTGATTGGATGTTGTGAGCACATCATTTTTTCCTGTAACCTGAAAAAAAAAAAAACAGTACAGCGAAGACACAACAACATGGTGGCAAAATAAAATTATAAGGCTAAAAAAAAAAGGTCTGTTTCTAACATCTTTAAAGCAGACATTTACGTGGGTACAACACAATGAAAAAATTCAAGTGATGTTTTGTACAATTTGCCATCAGTTTGACAAGTCCGCTACCTTTTGTAAAACAATTTAGAACTGTAATAAAACACTTGCAAATTTTCCAAACTGCTCTTTTTGTTTGCATAACACTTTGAATGTTGCTCATTATACATGTATTAACATTTTTCAAATATATTAGATTCACAGACATAATTTTTGACACTTTATTTAAAATATGTGTGTAAAATAACTATTCTTTTTTTTTTTTTCTTGGCGGAGCCAGTAAAAATTTTGGGCTAGTAGAAAAAATCATTAGCGTTGAACTCTGAAACATACCATAAATAATAGATTTTTTAAAAGAGAATATCGAAAGAAACAAAGATTTCTTTTCTCCTTTCCAGTAAACACTAATGTATGGAAACTTATCAGCCAGACCCTCAGAACTAGGGCTGCACGATATTGAAAAAATATGACATTGCCCTATTTTATTTTTGTACAAAATACTGTATCTATACTATTTTACCAAATGATTGCATAGTGTGGCACTATTTGAAAAGAAATTATATTCGCACTGTATTTGAAGCTTCACTTCTCGCTATTAGCAAACCATTAACTATAGCTGCGTCCGAAACCGCATACTTCCATACTATATAGTACGCTAAAATCAGTATGCGAGCCGAGTAGTATGTCCGAATTCATAGAATTCAAAAATCAGTATGCGAGAAGTACCCGGATGACTTACTACTTCCGGCGAGATTCTAGAGTGTGCATCCCATGCATGCTGCGCTATCCCATGATGCCCGCTATCCCATGATGCCCCGCGAGCGAATTCATGAATGGGAGTAAAGCGACGCAATTGACGCACGTGACCATGAAAAAATGGCGGATGTAGTACATCCGAATTCTATTCATACTTTTCACATTCATACTGTATAGAACGTACTTTTTTAACGGCCGAGTAGTACCTTTAAATTCAAAGGCAGTACCTACTGAGTAGTAGGCGGTTTCGGACGCAGCCTATGACTTTTGCTTCAATAAACTTCTTATTTGCTTATTATTAATATATATTAATGTATTTTAAGTATTGGGTTAGGGATGTAGAATAATCTCATGCAGAATATGTCATTTAGAAGTACTAATAAGCAGCCAATATCTCAATAACATGCATACTAATAATTAGTTAATAGTGAGAATTGGTCCCAAAAGTGTTACCAAGTAGATAAACACAATAAAGAAAATATAAAAGTGAAAAAAGCAGTGCATACTTTGTGGTTTTGTAAATGTAAAAAATACAAATTCAGGGTCTTTATTGTATATATAGAATGCAATAAAATGTTTCTTTTTTAAACTTTCAACTTGAAAAAGGTCTTGTGCATGAGTACTTAAATCTCTCTCATACTAATTATATTGTATCATTGTATTAATTATACTGCGCTCCATTATGGTTAAACTCTGCAGTAACTCCACAAATCTTGTGTTCTGAACTGTGACTCTTGCTCAAATATAATCCAAACTCAACATTGCATATCTATGTGACTTGACTATTGCAGATGTATACCTTGAGGTTTCAATGCTAAAACAATCTGTTGTGCAGTCCTACTCAGAATCAATTGTTGTTGTTTATTTCTGTTTTGTCCACAGGGCAATATATTTTGCTGCCTACTCCACATCCAAAGAGAAGCTGAACAATGTGTTTGATCCTGACTCTACTCAGGTGCACATGCTGTCCGCTGGTTTAGCAGGTAAGAATTGCTGCTGCATCTTTCATTTAAATGCATTTTTTTTTTTTGACTTAGGTTTGCATTGGCTCTTTCTTTCTTTGGTTGTATTTCACACACTGAACTAAATGATACTCACTCTGTTCACAAACCAGTGATTGCATCATTGGGGTGTTTCTAACCAATGTTTGTCAATCGCTTTTTTTGTTTTTAGCAATGACAGCTTGTTACGATGAAATGTTTTATCCTTGTGACTATCTGATACAAATGGGGGAGTTTAGTCATGGGTATTTGGCTCGTATTTTGGGTTACCTTTCTCAAGGTATGACAGCATCTAGAGCGAAAGCACAATTAAAGACTTTAAGGATCTAAATAGTATCTATCTTAATTGGCATAGATTTCAAACTTGTTTGTTTCAAGCTAGCCATTTTAGTCAAACTATTTAAAAAATACACATTTGTCAGAAAGTATGCTATGCAAAAGAAAACAGAAAATTGAATTTGAAGAGAAATATATACCGTATTTTCTGGAATATCCCTTTTTTATCATCTATATTAGAACTATGCTAAGCTGCTTTGACACAATCTATATTGTAAAAAGTGCTATATAAATAAACATGAATTGAATTGAAATTATACTAATAAAAAAATAAGGCTGTTTTTGTAACCATATTTTAAATGTATAAATCATGTAAATGATGCTATAATTTTAGTTTAAACCTGGAATTTGAGGAGTAAAATTGAATAGTTCCCCTCAATGGATATCACCATTTGTTGTTTACATTTTTTTTTTTGCTTAAAACGGAAGTAATATATTTAATGTTTGCTACTGCCATGTTGCGCCCTCGTACCTTGCTCTCTTTGAGTATTGTTTTTCTTCCATGACCCATAATCCTATCTTAAATACATTTATTTCCAATAATTTTAACTAGAGGTGTGACTCATCACACACTTCAGCACACACATGTGACTCATGGATTAATAACTTTTTTTTTTTTTTACTTGTAGATTAATCCTAAATTTGTAATGATGCAGAGAGGTTACCTCCTGCGTCATAGAAATTGCATGTATGAAAGCATTTTGTCTTCCCTGTAAAATATAATGATGACGAAGAAGTTGTGGTGGTATCTAAATGCTTTCTTGGGTGTTTTCTGGCACTACTTCTTTAGCCTGCATTAAACCATAGAGTGTATAGCTGCACAATTAATCATATAAAAGGCAGGATCTTAATTCAAACACCCATGCAAACTAAATTATAAATAATGCCGAATAAATAATTTGAATATGGTTATTAATCCTTTGCGCTGCATTTAATTGTGTCTGACCAAGAAAGAGATTCAGTCTTTAGTCTTTTCAGGCAGTGTTATAAATGATCAAATAATACAGAAGTACTCTGATAACAGTCTGTATTTCAGATATAAACACTGATGTTTTTGGTAACGATTAAATTCACAGTTTAATGCAACTTGACCATCAAAATGAAAGTTGTAGCAATTACATTGTTTAACCTATAGCTGGCAACAACCAGCCATCAAAAATATCTTGCTGAATAATTCTGCAAATATTATACATCTGGTAATGAAACATGACGTTTATATCAGTGAGTTATTCAAACATTGATTGCATTTAAGACCAAAAATTAAATATGAATATGTGTTGTTGTAGTACAAGATTATAATGTTAAATCGATACTTTTAGCATTATCAGCAACAGTAGAAGATAGTGGGAAAGACAATTTTTCACAGTATTGAATTTGTTTGTTTTAGATGATATTTTTATTAAAATATCATATTCCAAGTTATGTTTGTTTAAACGAAAAGTTGCTTGCAGTACTGTTTTATAATAAATAGAAAAGCAAATAACATTTGTCTTCTCCCTTTTTGTTGATCTGAAAAATCCATGACTTAAAAATTGTAATGTGATTTAAACCATGAGATCTGCGACCCGTTACATCACCAATTTTAGCACTAATTATAGTTTTGTTATCCTAACAACAGAGGACATCATGTCTGACATGATTTCCAGTAAATACGGTAGTAATTTTAAAGAATTGTTATTTAAATAGGCTAATGTTCAAGCATATGCTGGAATGCTTGTTAGCAGTATTCAAAGAAAAAGATCCTCAAAGTTTGGATTGTGCTTTCCTTTCCCAGTTTCTTTTTTTTTTTGTTTTCTTCTACTTTTTGAGGGCTGGAGGACATAAGTCATTACGTGCCAGTGTGCTACTAAACAGTCTGGCTTCACACGCTGTCTGTGCTGTGTGTAGTAGCGGCCGCTAGCAGGGCGCTACGCTAACATGTAGAGTGCCATGCGCGGTGGGCAGCGGTCCTTGCGACTGACACTGCACGGGCGGGATCGGGACGCCTCAGGTAGTCACGTCTCTACTCACCGGTATGATCATGATTCTCCTAATGATAATGATGATTTAATGATGGTTATTTCAATTCTTGTAGCCACTGTAGCTGGTTTGCACTTCTTTTTTTTTTTAACCTCCTTGTTGTCACGCAGTTTTGACACATGGCCCCGTTGCCAGCCTGTAACCCCTGTAAAGGTAAATTCAGTGAAAACCTACATGCATTTCTTTTTTTTATTTTAGTTTTAATCCTCAATGCTAACCTTGTCATTAGATTGCAATATATAGCCTATGCTCCGGACGTTTGTTTGTTTTTTCACAATGTAAACATTCTTAGCATAATCTGTCTGTGCGCAGGAGATAAGAGAAAGAGGGGCCTCGTAGTCGGACAAACCTAGTCTTACAGCACGCATTGGCCCTTGTGTTACAAAAGTAGTTAAATATAGGTCCCCAATGGAAAATTGGCATCCGATTAGGGACAGGCTCATGAAATATGCATTGCGCGTGCGACTCTCTTCTCACTAAAGCATAGGTGACTGCTTTTTCCTCTCTTAATGGGTCTTTGAATCAGCATCGGTTTACAGTTGAGTTCATGCAACCTGATGCATGTCATGTATGGCCCACACACTGCTCATGGTTGTGGTTAGGTTATGACTGAGTCATATAGAGCCAGATAAAGTCACTTCTCTGATGAAATAGCCCTAAAGGCTACAAAAGGCCTCTAAGATTAACAGCTTGTGAGTGTTGAAGAATTAAATGGTGCTTTCATTAGGCCTGTCACGATGTCTATTTTTTTTTGTGGTACAATATATAGCATTAAAATGTATTGAGATAAACAATATTATTGTCATTTTTAGACCATTTTGACACTATATTAGCATCATAATGCACATACACTCTTCCGAAGAACACATAATATTTTATTCTTAAAAATATTTGATTAAATTATAGTAATTTCAACAATTTAATAACTAGGCATTGGAATCAGAATGTGAGATCGCATATCATAACAAATAAATAATAATAATAAACGTTAACAAAAATGTCCAAGGTAAAAAGCGACAGCTCATCAGGCACCCACATAAAAATATACTATAGTAATTTATAGTAAATATTATGGTGGTTTTTTTAACCCATATTGACACTGACACCTCCAGTAGAGATAGAGAGGCTGCGCAATCAGCTGAAATGTGGCTGGAATTTAGTTTTTATGTATGGGCATCGATATATTGCATCACTAAAAATGACTGACGACATGTCCACATTCTATTCGATAAGTCGATCTATTGATTATTGTGACAGGCCTAGCTCTCATCAATATTGTACAATCAATAAACATTTTTATATTTTGTATTTTAGAAGGAAAAAAAACTATTTGATATTTCCTTGACATATTTATATTTTTATATTTAAGATATACTTTAGATATACTTTATATCTTTGAGATGTTTTTTTCTGAAATGTTTATAATAATAAAGTCTGTAAACCTAAAACTGACATTTGACATACAGTGGAATTTGTCATTTGTCAAAAGTCATATTTTGTTTACTATATTTCTGAAATAATCAAAGATCAAGTCCTTTTCTTAAATATCTAAGCCCTTTTGTACATTTTTTTTTGTAATTATTTATAAGTAACTTTATAAGTAACTATATTGTAAAATATATTGTTACCGTGAAATAAACTTTCACATACCGTGAAATAATTAGTTTTACCGCCCAGCCCTAATAATAATAATAACAACAACAACAACAACAATAATAATAATAATAATAATAATAAGCACATATTAAAAATACAGTCACATTTAGAGTTGCATTTTTTTATATATATATATATATATATATATATATATATATATATATATATATATATATATATATATATATATATTACTTTTGAAATTAAGCTTTAAATAAATATCATTCTCCTAAACTTTAAATTAATCAAAGAATCCAGAAGAAATGTGTATCAAAGTGTATCAAAATGTTTGAGGACAAAATCATTTTTATAACAATATTTGGTAATTGGTTAATTTAGTTCTTCATCTCTACCCAAACAATTATAATTTCCGTAATAATACTAAGCAGTAATAATTTCCAAACCGTGAATCCTACCAGATTACCTTCAAAATTGCACTCCGTGATGATTTTGCCCACAGGAATGACAAGGTTAGCATTTGATTCTTACATGCACTGCCTCTGACCCTCCTTATAGTTACTGTTGATATAAACATTTTGTAGCTGTTTATATGAGCAAACATTTATAAAGCTCACATCACATGATCAAGATAAACAGTGTTACTGCAGCAAGATTCTGTACCGTTACATTTCAATTCAAAACACTGGTCTAATGATGTCCTTTAAAACTCAAAAATCTCTCTGTCTCTCTCTCTGTCTCTCTCTCTGTCTCTCTCTCTGTCTCTCTCTCTGTCTCTCTCTGTCTCTCTCTCTCTGTCTCTCTCTCTGTCTCTCTCTCTGACTCTATCTCTATCTCTATCTCTGTCTCTATCTATCTATCTATCTATCTATCTATCTATCTATCTATCTATCTATCTATCTATCTATCTATCTATCTATCTATCTATCTATCTATCTATCTATCTATCTATCTATCTATCTATCTATCTAAACTATCTTTTCTCTTTCTATCTATAAAAAAGCTAAATGAAAGCACTCTCTTAATTGTTTAAAGGGATAATTCACCCCAAAATTAAAATTCTGTCATTAATTACTCCCCTTTGTCATTTCAAATCTATAAAACTTTAGTCATTTTAAATCTTTATGACGTTAGTTAATCTTTGAAACATAGATTAAGTATTTTTAGAGAAATCCAAGAGCTTTCGGACCCTCTATATACAGCGAGACTGATCAGATGTGTCATCAGTAGTTTTATCTGTATTTTTAATTTTATTTGTGTGCCCAAAAAAACAAAACAAAATTTTAATTCAAGTCCGCGCCAATGGCCTAGTGGTTAAGTACATGACAAATAACACTGCACCCGAGTTCGATTCCTGGCTTAAGGTCCTTTGTTCATCTTTCCAATGATTTCCTGGATGCGGTTGTTCTCAGGTTGCTAGGCGACCATCAACCGTTTTCTCAGAGGATGACAAGCCGACAAAACGTTGTCACTCTGATACAAGTTTTATTTATGGAAAAAGTACAAAGCACTGCAGTTGTTGCAGTATGTTGGTCTGAGATAATTAGTCTAAATTTCTATATTCCATACATGCTGAAGCTGATCGGTCAGTTCTTGTCACATGACTCGCGATATGCTCCTGGCATTCATTCAACTAGGTGCGTCTAGAAGACGCAAATGCGTCTCGCCGCTTGTGCACGCAAGCCGCACACCTCCACTGGAACGAACGAACTTGTGCGAACTCTAGAGAAGACGTGATATGCGAACAGCCCCTAAACGTCTGTTTCTTACTCATTTTGCTGCTTGTGGGTTAAATTTGGGTGCTCATTTGACTGAGATGTAACCGAGAGATTATGGTCATTTTTCAAAGTAAAAGACTTTTCAAAATAAAAGATTGTTCAGACTCATTAATGATAATAATTATTAATGATTTCTTGTGTGGCCTGCTACCAATTGAACCACGGCCCGGTACCGGTTCCCGGCCCGGTGGTTGAGGACCACTGCTCTACACTGTTCTATCCAATAAAGGTTAAAAATATATATTTAAAAAATTAACTCTACAGTTTCTTCTCTTCAGCGACAACTCGGGACACTCAGAAGAGAGGGAACTGTTGAATAAAGCCATTATTTTATTTATTTATTTTTCTGCTCACAAAAGTATTCCTGTAGCTTCATAAAATTTTGATCAAATCTGTAATGACACATGGACTGTTTTAACAGTTTTAGTATTTTGTACCTTTCTGGGCTTTGAATATTTCATGACCCTTGGTGTCTATATAGGGAAAGAGCTCCTGGATTTCATCTAAAATGTTTTGAATTCTGAAAATGAGGACTTATTGTTTTGAACTGACACAAAAATGAATAATTAATTACAGAATTTGAATTTTTGGGTGAATGACACTTTAAATGAAGAAATGGTCATTATTTGTTGTAATTGGTGGGTGGGGCTGGGTTGGGTGGTGGTTGTGGTTTATTGACGTGTTCCACTCCCTCATGGGTTTGACTTGACTCTGAGGGGCATGTGGACTCCTGCTTGTGATTTTGGTACAGAAAAGCCTGTGTCTATTTTAGGCCTTTACTGTAGCTTTCACCCTGCGTGAGGGTCTGTGAGCCAGCCTGCTCTGCCCCCCATATCTGCAGGCTTCGTCCTGCAGCTGTGAGGAGAGGAGCTTTGCCCCTCCCCTGTGAGTACTCGTCAGAGACACACTCTCTCTCTCTTACTCTCTTGTACCGATCTGTCATCCCCCCTCCCACTTCACCAGTCAGTTGCCTTAGGACTCTTATCCTCTCTAGAGCTTCTACTCTAGCTCAATAGACTTATTTTGGTTTGTTTAACTTAAGAAAACACTGATGTTTTATACTGTACTGTTAGAAACACACACAAATACCTTCATCTCCAATTGCCATTGTCTTATGCTCTCTTTCGTGTTTTGCTGGGGCATATTTTGTGCACCGAGCACAGGCTTTTATATTGCTCTAGTCCAATAGATAAAATGTTCACACCGATGTCTGGCTGAAGGCTGTTAATACAATGCAAGCACTCTTAAATCTATTAAAATGCACCTAACATTAATTTGCATACACATACCTTAATATTCGGATGCTGTTGTGCTAATCTCATTCACTAATGTTTTGTCGTCTTGCCACAATAGTACCCGCACAGCATGCTTTCAGCTTTATCACAGCAGTGGTATAATTCAGCGCCCATGCTGTGAGAAAAATAATAATAATAATAATTTTCCTAACATGAAGTTTGTTTGCAGTTATGTAACTAAATAATGGTGCTTAAGACTCTCTACTTTCAAGATGTTTACCTCATTTAAACTTCACTTGATCTGTAAAATGCTGTTGAGGATAGGGCTAGATGTTCAAGAAGTAAAGCTATATTGGTTTTAGAGACCTGTTATAGACGATAAACCGCTTAATTCTTTAGCTTAAAGGGCTTAATTACTGCTGTGGCCACTCTTTAAGATGTGCTTATGGCTTTCTTGTTCATCAAGTAAGTGTCTGATTTCCTGAGATCAGAAGCTGGGCATTCCTGAAGAGAACATGTAGTTCGTATCACGCTGTTGTTTGAGATTTCATTTCATATAAAACATATAACCAGCCATAAGCATATTTTAGGGACGTCCACAGCACTTCTCTTAAAAGTTGAGTTTCTTTAGGGACAATTTGTCTGTTCTAGAGCCATTAGATCTGCTGAATGTTCTGTGCTCTGAGTTACTTAGACAGTATCACTTCTAAGCCTGATCTAGATCATCTCTTTTTCCCAGGGTTCACTGCCATTACAGCAACCAACCCGATCTGGCTTATAAAGACCCGATTGCAGCTTGATGCCAGGTGAGTAATACTATTGGGTATATACAATACTGTTCAAAGGTTTGGCTTTAGAAAGATATTTTACACTTTTGAAGCTGACCTAGGCCACATTTTAATCGAAAATACCTCAAGTAATAAATGAATAAACAAATAAAACAAATAAAAAAATAGAAAATTTCTATCTGAATAGTTTTTAAAATCTAATTTATTTATATTTGGCAAAACTGACTTATACATTTATGACAGCATGCATTTGATGCATTTTTGATTTTTAGTACAGATGCATATATATATATACTGCCCAAAAACTTTAAGTCATAGTTAATTTTCTTTTCTTTCAAAGGAAATTGTTTCAATTTTTTTGAGTAAAAACATCAGTCAGCATTGCATCGAGAGAGGAAGCAGTTGTCATTTACCACATCAAGATTTAAAACAAAAAGAAGTGATCAGAAAATATGTATCTAAAAATAATAGTAAAACAAATCTTACTAATATCTATACTATACTTACTAATATCATTCAATCAATCAATCAATCAATCAATCAATCAATCAATCAATCAATCAACATATTTTATTAGTATATGCTTTTATTCTTTGGACTTAAGAAATAAGAAAAGAAATAAGAAAAGTTGAAGTTCTAAACGGTGGAAAATTACATGTTTTGTAAATAATCTAATGTGTGTTTTTATATAACACATAAGTATTGTGTATGGCCATACACTCAACAGTATAGTGACAGCCCCTGCTTGTCTCACTAACACCACTTCCAACAGCAACCTAGTTTTCCCATGTGGCCTCCCATCCAGGTAGTGACCAGGCTCAGCCCTCCTTAGCTTCAGTGAGTAACCGGTCTTGGACTGCAGAGTGATATGGCTGTTTTGTTAGTAATGTTGCAGTAAACTGTTTATTGTAATATTTTTTTATATTAACAATCCTTTTAAAATTCATATTTTTTTAATAACTCTGTAATTAGTACATTATATTATAAAAAAAAGTATATTTTTGTTTGTGAATGCTGTCAATTAAAGTTCTTGGAAAGAAAATCGGAATCAGCAAAAATGGGTATCATTTGCTCACACTTACCAAAAAATCTGACATCTTAATACAACAACATTGCTCCTTTGCGATTGCAAAAAAATTAGCAATCTTAACTTTTTGTTAAAGCATGTTACGTATTAAAAATGCAATTTGAGGGTATGTTTTCATGATGATGATGTAGTTAATAATTATAATAATAATAATAATAAATTTTATTTATAATTTGCTTTTCTAAAACCCAAATCGCTTACAAGAAAGTAAAACAACAAAGCACAGTATAACAATAAAAAAAATACAATAAAAAACACAGTAAGAATAAAGAGATATCACAAATTAAAAACAGTCCTAAAAAGATGAGTTTTAAGTAGCTTCTTAAAACAGTCCAAGGAACCAGCATTCCTAATGTTTGTGGGAAGAGCATTTCACAGTTTGGGTGCACGGAAAGAGAATGCCCTACCTCCAATGGTGCCGAGTTTGCAGCAAGGCTGAAACAGCGTAGGACACGAGGCAGAGTGTAGACAGCGAGAGGCAGAGGAAATGGATATCAAGTCACAAATGTAACCTGGAGCAGAACCATAAACCACTTTATATGTTAAAATTAATGTCTTAAAATAAATACGTGACTTGTAACATAAGTCTTGGAAACATTTGTTATTGTTTTCCATAACTTGCAGTCCCCAAAATGCTGCAATGTAAATGAACAACCAAACTATGTATGAAGTATTTTTTTCCTTTTTAGAGGTCATCAAAAAAGGCAATAATATAGCCTGATTTGAAATGTGTTTGTGTTGTGTAGGAACCGAGGAGAACGGCGCATGAGTGCGTTTGAGTGCGTCCGGCGTGTCTATCAGTCAGATGGCTTACGGGGATTCTACAGGGGCATGTCTGCTTCTTATGCTGGTATATCAGAGACTGTCATCCACTTTGTCATCTATGAAAGCATTAAACGCAAACTCATTGAGCACAAGGCCAACTCTAACATGGACGACGAAGATGAATCTGTAAAAGACGCTTCAGACTTTGTTGGTATGATGCTGGCTGCTGCCACTTCCAAGACTTGTGCCACATCAATCGCTTATCCTCACGGTGAGTGCTACTCTTTATTTATTTATTTTTTTCCCTTAATAAATTACTTTGATTTGTTTAATTAAATGATATCAGTTTAACAAAGCAGGCTACTCCAAATTTGATCTTTACTAAGAAACTCCTTCATTTCAGCAGTATTTAACAGCAGGTTAAAAATAAAATTCATCTTTTTGGTATAAAAGTGAGTTATAAACTAAATTATATTGAGCAATAAAACCAAAACTAAAAGCCTATAGGCATGGGCCAGTATAAGTTTCTAACGGTACGATAACCTTGGGCAAAAAGATTACGGTTTTACAGTTTACTACTTTACAATAAGTTATTTTTGGTTATTAATCCATGTGTCCCGTGCGTTCTAAACTGTGGGTTGTGATCCGTACAGATCAACCGTGATCCGTTACACACCTATAATATAAAATATTGTAATATTTATGGCTAGCTAAGCAAATTTCAGAGGTAAATTACATTACATTACAATTTATAAATTTGTATTAAGTATTTTTTATGTGTTCTCTATTTTATCATTATAAAAATTATATAATTACAATAAATGCATATATTTGTATAATTTAGAAATGAAAGGGTAACATAAATGAAGTGAATGCCTTGTAGTGGTACTGTATGAAGATTTTATTAGATTTTTTTTTTTTTCCTGACAAGTAACGCTTTGGTCTTTTTCTCTTTTCTCTCCCCCTTCTTTCTCCAATGACAGAGGTTATTCGTACCAGACTACGAGAGGAGGGCAGCAAGTATCGTTCGTTCTTCCAAACTCTAAACATGGTGTTCCGGGAGGAGGGTTACAGAGCACTGTACCGGGGCCTCACCACTCACCTAGTCCGACAGATCCCTAACACTGCTATAATGATGTGCACCTATGAGCTGGTGGTCTACCTGCTCAATGGTTAACACATGGAGAGAGACCAGGAAAGAGAGAGGGAGACAGACAGAGAGATGAACAAGGTGAGAAAGCGAAAGCTAGATGGAAACCGAGAGAGATTGTCGCAGGCTTAGACCAAAGGAAGTAGAACAAATCCAAGAAACGCACGGTTAACCTAGACCCCCTCAAAAGGGTCTGCTAGTTTCCGAGAACGAGAGGGATTTGAGTCTGGACAGCATTTCAAAAAAAGAAACAGACAAGTGGTTTGTTCGTTTCGAAATGTTTTCTGAGAAGGACAATCAGAGAGGGGAATGCTTGAAGAAAAACACAAACCTGGCAGAAGAAATAACAAAAAAAAAAGCCATTTCAAAAATAGTTTTTGTCTGAGCCATTGCTTTATAAAAAGAAAAAGAAAAAAAACGAGCCTGTTGGGATCCGAAGTGACTTTGTAGGAAAGAAAATATATAAATGATAAAACAGCACACAATGGTGTTTTTCAGATGTGGCACAGTTAAGGGTGTTTTTCTTTTCTTTTTTCGATCTCACCATTTCATAAACATGGCATTTTTTGCCTTTCCAGCATTGGTTGTTTCAAGCATTCTCCTCTAGAGGTCACCTTCCACTCTTTCCAAACCTGCAGATGGTTGTCCACGCACAATTGTCCATTTGCTGTCGTTGAATTGATGGTCACGTGACCCGTGGCCCCTCATGTGCTTCAAACTGAAGTGTTTCTTCGTTAGGTTCATGTTATGTTTAACCATACTTATTATTTTTTTTTGTGTGTGTGCGTTTTTGATGATCATACCGTTGTCCTAATATCAGTATAGTATATATTCGGGTTGCTATTTTAGAATTGGGAGATGTTGTCCTGCTTGCATCACTGGGCCTTTTTTTTTTTTTTTACTAAGATGGTGGAGCGTTCTCGAATTTATCACCACAGTTCATTGCTGCAAAAGCCTATACTTGAATCCCAGGTGTCGGCGAGAGCCAGAGATGTATTTACCGATTGCTAAATGGTAGTGGCTAGTGCTAACTCTGAGCATGTTGCCTACAAACAACATGCCACTTTGTGGCGATATTATTCGTCAAAAGGCAATAGTCAATTTTTTTCCACTTAAGAGTGGGAATACAAGCCGCAGGGTTATGTCCCGCTCTCTGGATTCCTCTAACAGTGGCTTCTGACTGACCGTATATGCACTTTGTGGCCTGTTTAGGCTTGCGCAAACCTTTTTTTATTTTGTTTTTCAGTTTGGGACAATTTTAATCTTCTATTGTAAAACATAGTGTTACTATGTAAGCAAGACAGTGTTTTGCTGAACAGTTCCCTTTGGAAATTCTTGTACAGTTCAGTGTACTAAACTTTTAGTGAAGGATATTCTCGTATGTGTATATACTGTATGTATGCATATCAAATATCCAGTGTTCATAACTTAAGTCCACTGATTATGCAGTAGTATTATTTGAATGACTGCATTTGTTTGTGTGTTTGATAGCTTTATCTCAGAAGGATGTAATTTTTTTTCTTTATTTTTTTTTTCTTTAATTTTTTATATATATTTTTGATCATTTTGTTTTATCACTCCTCATTCTGGCCCTTGACTCATTGCTTGACATGGAGTAAGCCCACCCACCCTTTAAACTCTTCCAAAATGTTTTCATCTAATTGTTTGTTTACATTAATGTTGTCTGTATGTTCACACCCTCAATTGAAGGATCTCAAACTGTTAATATTATCATTTTTTTACAATTCCGTTTCCTATACATTGGCTTAAAGTGTTAGTTCATTCCAAAATGAAACGTTTGTCATTATCTACTCGCCTTTCTATCATTCCAAACTCCTGCGAATTTTGTTCGTCTTTTGAACAAAAATTAAGATTTTTTTCATAGCTAAAAGAGATTGCTTGTCCTTTAAAAAAAGTGTAATGATCAGGAATTCTAATGCCTCAAAAGTTCTTAAAGGGATGCAAATTATAAGATTATAAATTGAGTGGTTCAGGTCATCTGAAGAGACATGTTTGATGTCAATCAACAAATTTATTCATTAGTCTTTTTTTATCTAACGTATAAACATTGATCAGCAAACAGAAGCTCAATCACACCTGCTTGACCTGTAACAACAAATGTCATTGGTTGTTGCGCATCAAGCAAGCAAACTTTGTTTCTGTGCTAAATACATTGCTATCCAGTCTTTATTCGGATTGACATTTCTTCTTCTTTTTCTTCTTCTTCTACTTCGTATTTATTATAATAATACTAATAATAATAAATATCTTGATTTGATGTCTTTATTCATTTGAAGATGATTAAATTAGGTGAGTTTGGAATGACGGAAGAGCAAATGACAGAATATTGGAGTAAAATAATAGTTTAAAATGATAATATGAGCCTATTATATAAAGCCTCATGCTGATAGATCCCATGCAAAGTCTTTAGTGGTCCTGTAACATTTTTAATAGTATCAGTATTTTTTCTAGGAGCAAAAAATAAAACAAAAGACATGGTTTTGTTAGCTTCCATCATTCATACGCGAAAGTGATGTGCATTTTGGCATTGTGTTTTCATACATACGTTTTTTCTGTCCAGTTTGAGTGCATTTGGAATCCTCAGTATCTGTAATGCTGCAGATTACGCTCTGAAACACTGTAATGCTCATCAACACACTTTATATTTCATTACTGATGATTATACACACAACATCAAATGTTATGCAATTAGAGCCGGACTCATAGCTAACATGATTTCGGTCAGCAAATATTGCTCTAATTATTGAACAGAAATCATTTTTGTTTTCAGAAAACTATTTAATATCCTTAAAAAAGTGTTGTTGATGGATGAGTAAAGTGAGTGCATAGATACTCGTGTTTAGTTTTAAGAAGTAATGCCCTGTTAAAAAAAAAGTGATCTCTTGCAGATGTGAATGACTGACGCTCTTAAGTTTGCTGTCAACATATGCACTTGTAACTTCACAGTCTCACAGAGACTTTAATGGCATTATGAAGATACTCAAGAACAAAAGGCATTTTCAGAAAGCGATGTTGGAACATTCAGACAGACTTGAGCATTCAGTTAACTGAGCCTAACTGTTTGACAGAAGTATTGAACATGACGGATTAATCATTTCAGAATCTTCATTTCAAGTTCAGTGGCATATTCGGCAGTTTTCATGTGTAGTTGTCTGTACTGCGCAGTCTAACATGACCAACACTAACATTTTTTTGTTTGTCAACACCTGTTATTTTCTTTCTGTTTTTGACTTTTTTTTTTGTTTTGTTTTGTTTTATTATTATTATTATTTTTTTTTTTTTTAGTAAATGTGGCCTATTTTTGCTGGTTATGTGATCATACCTCTTTTTGTACAAACTGTCAATAAAAAACTATGAAAAACCCATGTTGTCGTAAAGTCTCTTTTAGGATCAAATTATTTTCATTTTAATAGACAAACATTAACATTAATTTTAGGCCCTTTAATAACATTTTAAAGAGTTTTTGATCATCAGCAAGCACTGTGTGCACTGTGTCTAAATTGCTCTTTAATTTATTTGTCAGTTTATAATTTAATTTACATGTTCAAAGTTCTCTTATGCTCACCAAAACTGGCTATATTTGATTAAAAATGTTAAAGACTTTTATATTGTACCAATATCACAATAATATATTCATAGATTTGAATAATTTACTCTAATAAATTCTCTTTATACGTCTACTTAATATCTACAAATTCATCAATATGCTCTGGAAACAAAAGAATAGAGCCACATAGGAAGATTTAGGTCATTTCCATAGCTTATTTCAATTGCAGAACTTGAGGAAATAAACTGGCAACCTGAAGAGTACCAAAGTAAAGTGACTGCAACAAGTAGACATACACTTACACTTAATAATTTTCTGTAGAAGCTACAGTAACTCACTGTAAATTCTGTGTAATTTAAAAATGTTCAAGACTTTTATATTATAAAGTAATATCACTGTAATATCAGAAATGAAAAAATTAAGAAGAAAATGAATTAAATATCTACAAAGTCATCAATATGCTCTGTAAACTATAGAATAGAGCCACATAGGAAGATTTAGGTTGTTTCCAAAGCCTATTTCAGTTGCAGAAGATGTCTGGAAATAAACTGGCAATCTGCACTCATTTTCCAAATACAACATTAAAATACAATAACATATTGCATAGCTGACCTTCAGTAAAATACAGTCCATATTACAGTTAAATACTGTGTAATTTAAAAATGTTAAAGACTTTAAAATTGTGAAATATTATAAATTAAAAGATTTTTTCTATTAGTAAATTCCTATAATATATTCATATATTATAATAATATACTTTAAAAAATTATTAAAGTATTATTTGTCTTCAGAAATCCTTATATTCTTATTGTTTTGTTGAATTGGCCATTAAAGAACTCAAAAAAAAATAATAATTAAATATCTATAAAGTCATCAATATGCTCCGTAAACTATAGAATAGAGCCACATAGGAAGATTTAGGTTATTTCCAAAGCCTATTTCAGTTGCAGAAGTTGTCGGGATATTAACTGGCAACCTGAAGAGTTGAAAAAGAAGTGTCATAATTGCTGCAAAACTTATTGGCAGCAGTTTGTTAGTAACTTACAGTAAATCAATTACAGCAAAAATACTGTGTTTACAGCACCATTCGTCACCATGTATCTCTTTCCTGTAAAATCTACACCTTAATTTATCAATACAACATTAAAATACAGTAACACACTGCATAGCTGTTTCATATTAAAATACAACCCATATTACAGTTAAATACAATTATTTTTAATTGTATACAGTTAAATACTGTGTAATTTACAAAAATCGTTAACTGTACCAATTCCAAATACATGACTGGATAAACACTGACTCAATTAATAGAATTTATTGCTGCATGTTTACTGCACAATATAAAATATAATCATGTTTCGGAGGTAAAAATAATATTATTGTGTGTGTGTGTGTGTATGTGTATTGGAGGTTAATACTTCATGTTGTTTTATTAAGTTAAATTTAGTCCCCACAATAATACATCCTGCAACAGAAATGTCATTAAAGTAGCTTTGGTGCTTGTTATTTGTCAGTACAGCCAGACGGTGGCAGCAAAGTCTAAAAGTTTAAAACCAGGCCCTTACAATGATCATGGTCAAAGCTGCTGTTGTCAGATTGATCGCATATTCTTTTCTGCATTCACTTCACATCACAATTATAAAGGTCCTTACTGAACTGTCAAATGAAATGACACTGGTCAAAACACTCCAACATCTTTCAAACAAAAACCCTGAGTTGTCCCAACAGCTGTGCAAACACGATATTGCAGTACACCTTGACAGAAAGGTTCTTGTGTGCATGTGTGTTTGCATAGAAAACAAGGCAGAGACGAAGTGCATGTCTTGGAGGATTAGCCACATAAGGCCTGTGTGTGTGTGTGTGTGTGTGTGTATGTGTGTGTGTGTAGTCTTTAATCCATGAAGTGATTCGTGGATTGAATTACTAACATCATGGCCCTTTATTCACATCAAGCAAAGCTTTGAAAATCTAGCTGCTCCAGGGGGAATGTTAATAATTAGTGTATGTATTGTACATCACACAACATGAAGCAACTAGTTAACATGAAAAACACAGGAATGTGCAATTTTATCACAGTACAGCCTTCAGTTCTAATACAGGTCACTTCAAATGTTCAATCATTATCTCAACCAATCAAAATCTCTCAATTTTCTCTTTTTCTCCACTGAAAGATCATAAGTTCATTTGAAAGACACATACACTGCTGACAAAAAAGGCTACATGTAACCTACGCTTATAGCTACTGTAGGTCAATATTGTAAATTTATTTAAAAATATTAATTTACCAACTAAAAAAAAGAGTCGTCCGCTGACCTCAGGTGTTGATATCTTTTACATGACATGACTTGTTGGATTCCCTTAGCTTCATGTGTTTTAATGAAATAAGGTGTTTTGTGTAGGCTACCTGTCGAATATTAGGCTTACTGAGAAGATTTTGACAACATATCTAAGGAAGTGAAGGTCAATTCCAGTTGCATTAAGAGGCATATGTGTTATTATTTATTCAAGTTTTAAAATTTGTTTAAAGAAACATACAAAGTAGGCCTTACATGCATAAACCAGCATGAAGAAATACAATTACAACAATAGGCAGACACAAATATACATAGTAAACAGTCAACTTTATCCAATGAAATGAGTTTAGTTAACTAAAAATCCTCTGAAATTTAATTCTACTAATCTGAAAAGAGTTTTGAATTCAATGTTGAAGGTATTAAGTTAATTAAATACCTCATTACTTCAACTTAAATGGAGTAAGTTCACAGTACTCATAGATTAGTTTTTTTTCTACTCAAATGGTTTGTTGCAAACGGTTTCCTTAGTTGGTGAGTTCTCTTCATGTATTGAGTTTTACTGTGCTCAAATTGCTTCGATTACTCAAATGGATCAAGTTCACAGTACTTATTAGGTTTACTTTTTGAACTTAAACAGTTTGTTGCAATCAGTTTCCTCAAGTGGTTTGAGTTACCTTAACTTTTTGGGTTTTACAGTGTATTTAGGAAAAAAAGCAACATATGGTAATGAAAGTTTTACTTGACGTTAAAAAGAAATAAAATAAAATAAATAAATTATAAAAGCTTATACAATATAAACCTTCAAAGGGTTGTGAAGAGGCTATAGGGTACAAAATTCACTGAAAAAAGCAGCTGCTTTAGCAGCTTTATCGTTTGACAAAGTACTAAGTGATGAAGCTATAATAGCAAGTTTATTAATAAAGTGTAAAATATAGAAAGGGGGTTTCAGAAACCTACATTTATGAATGAAGAATTTTGCAATGCATAAAAGGTTATTAACCAGGTAATGTTGTGTACAATTTTATTAGTTGCCCAAAATAACTGAGTAGATGCTTTTTTATAGAAAATATGCTCTGTGTTTTAATACCACTTTCACAAAATTGACAGGAGTTGTCCTTAATATCACATTTTAATCTCAGGAATCATTTTAAAATAAAGCTATTTAATTTTGGAGGGAATTGGATAAGAAATTTAACTTGTCCTTATTTTTTTTACAATTCCTGTTAATTAAAATCTTTAAAAAAAAGATGTCTGAGCTGATTGGGATGAAGTCTTTTCGAGGCATATGTATTATGGCATTCATTCATTTTCTTTTCGGCTCAGTCCCTTTATTAATCATGGGTCGCCACAGTGGAATGAACTGCCAATTTATCCAGCATATGTTAGCGATGCCCTTTCAGCTGCCACCCATCACTGGGAAACATCCATACACTCTAACACACACACACACACATAGTACAGGCAATTTAGCCTGCATGTTTTTGGATTTATGGGGGAAACCAGAGCACCCAGAGGAAACCCACACCAACATGGGAAGAACATGCAAACTCCACAAAGATATGCTAACTGACCCAGCCGAGGCTCGAACCTCCTGTATTTTTTCCTTTTCTTTTTTTTTATTAATGTCAGGGTAACATGAACAACATCATACAAATCTGTAACAAAGAGTGTACAAACGTTTTACAGAGAAGTAAAACATCAAATAAGCACATACAATACAAAAAACAACAACAAATGATTTAAAAATCGTGTTAAGAGAATTAAAAAAGGAAAATAAGACAGTTCCAATAGCTTAGATTTTTAGAGGAAGCTCTAATGTATAGCTACTGTTGATTTTCCTTTTCAAAAACAATAAAACAAGGTATGCGTTGAGAGAATTTATAGCGGTGTATAAGGAATTTAGCGAGGATTTAAGAACCCCCTGTATTATAGCATACTATATTATTATTCGTCACCTCACGTTCCTGCGTACTCTCTTCGTCACTACTCAGTCCGTGCCAGTGACCCTTTGACGCCGGGTTCACGCGTGCACGTGGTTTGCAGGCAGCCTGCTGTTGTTGCTCGGAATCTTTGAGCGCGTAAAAAGATAGCTTTTTTTCTTACCCAGCCGTTGTTTGCGTCAAATATCGCTTCGCAACGGCTAATCTTATTTGTATTACTAATTTTGACCCACTGTTGTTATTTAACATGAATACTGCGGGGTTTTACTCCAGTTCTCTCACGTCTTCTCTTATCACAGTTTTGCCACCCACACAGTCCCTCGGTGTCAGTTTAAAGAGATCCTTTTCCTCACGTCCCTTTATCGGTTAGTTTTCCCCATTTCCTCTTCACATAGGCCTACAGATAAACGCTTCATCATTGTGTCGTTCGACTGACTGTCGAGTCCTTATGAAAATGCAAATACTTCCCTGAAGGAGAATGGGCCTCTGCTGGGATTTCACTGAGATTGAGGGGATTCCTCGCCTTCATTTTTCACCTTGTTGGAGTCTATTGTCATTGATGTTGGGCGCCCGCTGCTTCAGAGGTAAGATCCATTTACCTTAAATATAGGTGAATGTTAGCTCTTTTTCTTTTTCCTATTCCCCCCACCCCCCCCAAAAAAAGAATTTTTTTTATATGAAATCAAAGGAATGATTCTGTAGGTCTATTTTTATCCATCCATCCATCAATCAATTTTCTTTCTTTCTTTCTTTCTTTCTTTCTTTCTTTCTTTCTTTCTTTCTTTCTTCTTTCTTTCTTTCTTTCTTTCTTTCTTATATACCCATTCATCCATCCATACATTATATACGGAATCTACTAAATAATGCCGCAGCACACACAATTAAGAAGAAATCTGAAACTGAAAAAGTGTGGTAATGTTATGATTTAGAGGTTTTTTTTTGATATTGAGATGAAATATAAAATTTTACATTGTTGATAAAGAAACATTATTAAAAATGTAATGTAGTCAATGTGAAATATATATATATATATATATATATATATATATATATATATATATTATATATATATATATATATATATATATATATAGTCAGTGAAATACTTTTCAGTGTTTGTCAAAATAAAATTGAATATATTTAAGTTCAATATTAAGCAATGAAGGACAAATTCTCATTCATGGGGCATTTAACTGAATAAATATTATTCAATAATTCATATAAAGATTTTTTAAAATTAAATTATTAAGCAGACTGAATGTATTCAATTAATGATCTGCCAAATTGAACTTTAAAATTCCAAACGAAAAATGACTTTTTAGATTCAGAAGTTTCTATCTGCACTTGCCCTGTTTTTTTTACCCCAATTTGCAAATTTTCTTTCTTTCTTTCTTTCTTTCTTTCTTTCTTTCTTTCTTTCTTTCTTTCTTTCTTTCTTTCTTTCTTTCTTTCTTTCTTTCTTTCTTTCTTTCTTTCTTTCTATTTTATATATCCATTCATCCAACCTTTATATCTGTCCGTTTCTTTCTGTCTGTCAGCCTGTCTATCTGGTCTGTCTGTCTATAAAAATGTCTATCCATGCAGACTTGTTCCTTTTAAAAAGAAATCCCATCAGCTGATGTTCTGTGAAATGGCTCTCCAAATACAACCCTTTAAAACCATTGTTGCGATAACAGTAACTTTTGCACAAATCCGTGAGCGTTTTTCTGTCCGACTTTCAGGAAATGATAGTGTGCACACAAAAGGCTGTATTTTGCTTTCAGATCTGACTTCCTCCATCTCTCCCATAAGTGTTTCAAAGCTTTGTCAGATAGCTTGTTTGATGTTGAACTATATGTGAAGCCCTGATATGTGAATGTAGAGTAGTCTGTCATGCGATATCGTACAAACTGCTCTGAATGAGCCATATGCACTTACTTGACTTTTGACCTTTAATCCTGATTAATGCTGGCATCGTACCATAGTATAGTGTGATGTGGTTATGGCTTTACGAGGGGGACATGACGTCTTTTTGAAGGTCTGCTTTGAGCTCAGCTGTTCTGGGGTCCTTAGGGATGAGGCCAGATGCCACACTAAGCCCGTTTTAATTTGGATAATTTGATGTCGGCCTCTGTGAGATTGACGAATGTGCTGTCATATGAGGTGGAGAGAAGCTGCACCATTGTGACAATGCCCATTTATCTGTCTGCCAGAACAGACAGGCTGGTCACTAACAGAGTCCGGCTATCTCAGGACAGCTGGTGACACTGTAGTGCATTTTGCTTAAATTCTTATTTTACAGTTTTATTCCTTCAAAAATTAGATGACAGCTGATGTAGCTGATGGATGAAATATTATGAGCTATCATTATGAACTTGCATGACATAACTACATGAGCTCCATCAGGCTGTGACAGAGCATGTGACGGTTATTATAGGTTAGATTTTGATTAATTGATTTAGATAGACTAATTGTATATATATTAACTAATTATACAAACTAATCAAATTAATTTGTTACAACATTGTGTTTGATTGAAGTTATGTCAATGGAGTGTGAATGTTTATTGCTCACACTGTTACGAGTGTGATATTGCGTTTATACAACAGTAATGATGTATATAAAAGAGAAAATCAAAGGTGGAGAGTCTCAAAAATCCTATGATGCGAGGATCCGCCATTCCTTCACATCTGCAGCTGACGTCAGCACAACAGAATCTGTTACTAATTCACCAACGTCACTTTAAAGCTAGTATTTGATTGATTCTCTAGCGTAACATCTAAAGTGATGACAAAGCAGGTGATTTTGCTGACATTTTAAGATTATAAGGCTGAACGGCATGAAATGCCATCAGTCTAGAGACAGTCTAGAGAAGTCTAGAGAAGCACTTTAGCAGCATCTAGAACAGCAGCCTGTAAGTACATTTAAGATTTGTTTCAGTTGTTGTGTATGGTTTGAGGACTTGTTTCCAGCTGTTTGTGTAAAGTTGTAGGACATTTAAACTTGCTTTCAGTTGTGTATAATACTAGAAGTTGTTTAGCCACTGTTTCCTTGGTTACTATAAGAGCTTGTGTAGCGAACGCAGACGCGGTTTCGCGTCGTCCGCCTCAGTTTCGGCCCTTGTTTTGACTCGGGAGGCGTGTCCAAACGCCAGGTAACCACTATATAGTGAGCACGGTAGCATTAGTCGGCAGGAGAAGCACTTTAGCAGCATCTAGAACAGCAGCCTGTAAGTACATTTAAGATTTGTTTCAGTTGTTGTGTATGGTTTGAGGACTTGTTTCCAGCTGTTTGTGTAAAGTTGTAGGACATTTAAACTTGCTTTCAGTTGTGTATACTAGAAGTTGTTTAGCCACTGTTTCCTTGGTTACTATAAGAGCTTGTGTAGCGAACGCAGACGCGGTTTCGCGTCGTCCGCCTCAGTTTCGGCCCTTGTTTTGACTCGGGAGGCGTGTCCAAACGCCAGGTAACCACTATATAGTGAGCACGGTAGCATTAGTCGGCAGGAGAAGCACTTTAGCAGCATCTAGAACAGCAGCCTGTAAGTACATTTAAGATTTGTTTCAGTTGTTGTGTATGGTTTGAGGACTTGTTTCCAGCTGTTTGTGTAAAGTTGTAGGACATTTAAACTTGCTTTCAGTTGTGTATAATACTAGAAGTTGTTTAGCCACTGTTTCCTTGGTTACTATAAGAGCTTGTGTAGCGAACGCAGACGCGGTTTCGCGTCGTCCGCCTCAGTTTCGGCCCTTGTTTTGACTCGGGAGGCGTGTCCAAACGCCAGGTAACCACTATATAGTGAGCACGGTAGCATTAGTCGGCAGGAGAAGCACTTTAGCAGCATCTAGAACAGCAGCCTGTAAGTACATTTAAGATTTGTTTCAGTTGTTGTGTATGGTTTGAGGACTTGTTTCCAGCTGTTTGTGTAAAGTTGTAGGACATTTAAACTTGCTTTCAGTTGTGTATAATACTAGAAGTTGTTTAGCCACTGTTTCCTTGGTTACTATAAGAGCTTGTGTAGCGAACGCAGACGCGGTTTCGCGTCGTCCGCCTCAGTTTCGGCCCTTGTTTTGACTCGGGAGGCGTGTCCAAACGCCAGGTAACCACTATATAGTGAGCACGGTAGCATTAGTCGGCAGGAGAAGCACTTTAGCAGCATCTAGAACAGCAGCCTGTAAGTACATTTAAGATTTGTTTCAGTTGTTGTGTATGGTTTGAGGACTTGTTTCCAGCTGTTTGTGTAAAGTTGTAGGACATTTAAACTTGCTTTCAGTTGTGTATAATACTAGAAGTTGTTTAGCCACTGTTTCCTTGGTTACTATAAGAGCTTGTGTAGCGAACGCAGACGCGGTTTCGCGTCGTCCGCCTCAGTTTCGGCCCTTGTTTTGACTCGGGAGGCGTGTCCAGCTGAATTCAATCAGCTAGGGCTTTGGGGTTATATAAACAACTAGTTCACCGCGGCAGCGGTCGTGGCAGCCTCGTGTGAAGACCGCCTCGTGTGAAGACCGACGAGTGTAAAGACCATCGACTCTACCTGCGCGACTCCACCGAGCAAAAACACTGACAAAGCACTTGAGTACTTTACTGTATTGTTTTACTTTACACCTATTTTTTGTTGTCAGTGCACTTTTATTATGTGTTTTCTAATTCCTGTTGTTACTAACACTCGCAAAACACGGGAGGTACACTGCAGGCGTAATCCTCACAACCTTCGTTCAATACATATATCTACTATTTCACAACTCTCTCTCTCCGTGGGCCTCTGGAACTGTCAATCAGCTGTTAACAAGGCTGATTTTATTACCTCCATAGCTACATATTCTGACTATAATCTCATGGCTCTAACTGAGACCTGGTTGAGGCCGGAGGACACTGCTACACATGCTACTCTTTCTGCTAATTTCTCTTTTTCCCACACTCCTCGTCAGACAGGGAGAGGGGGTGGGACTGGACTACTAATTTCCAAAGAATGGAAATTTACTCTGATACCGTCCCTGCCAACAATCAGCTCCTTTGAATTCCATGCAGCCACCATTATCCACCCCTTCTACATAAATGTGGTTGTCATCTACCGCCCACCAGGTAAATTAGGTCACTTCCTAGATGAACTGGATGTTCTTCTCTCATCTTTTTCTAATTTTGCCACTCCCTTATTGGTGCTAGGTGACTTCAACATTTACGTTGACAAACCGCAAGCTGCAGACTTTCAGACTTTGCTTGCCTCTTTTGACCTAAAAAGAGCACCTACTTCTGCTACCCACAAATCAGGTAATCAGCTAGACCTTATTTACACACGACACTGCTTCACTGATCAAACAATAGTAACTCCACTACAAATATCTGATCATTTCCTTCTGTCTCTCAACATCCACATTACTCCTGAGCCGCCACACACTCCAACACTGGTTACCTTTCGCAGAAACCTACGATCTCTCTCACCCAATAGACTATCCACCATTGTTTCAGACTCTCTTCCTCCATCTCGCAAACTCACTGCACTTGATTCGAACAGTGCCACTAATACACTCTGCTCCACACTAGCATCATGTCTAGACCGATTATGTCCTCTTGCATCCAGGCCAGCCCGTGCCAGTCCTCCTGCACCCTG